CTCGCCGTCCAGTTCCCAACGCAGCAGACATCGTGTCTGGGCGCAGCGGAACTAGATCATGCTGACGAGAGTGGGTTTTTGAAGACGAGCTCCATGAGAACGATGACGAACTGATTCGGATTCTCGGGGACACGATCGCACGTTTGGTGTATTTTTGGGCATGTATGTGTCGACGAAGATGTGTTTTTTTTGTCTGGGGTTCATGGGGACGTGATGGCATGACTTGTGCGTCTCTGTCCGCGCGTTCTAAGTGCCCTGCGTCCTCATACCCAGACCCCAGCGCCGAGGTTTGTTCACAAAGTGGGCCCAATGAGGTCTCGACCCCTTCCCCAGGGTCGGACCTAAACGCTGTTTTGCTGAGCTTCGGCTGTGTCCTGTTTTTCGTTTTGGCAGGGAGGTGCAGGAAGACGGGTCGAGCAACACGAACAACAGACCGAACACAAAAAACGAAACACAACGTTGAGGTCCAGCCCTGCCCTGCCCTGGAGCCGTGGTCTTGTCGTGCGTCGTCTTCGACGGGCTCCCCGGTAAAACAGGGCTAGGATCGGGATAAGTCGCTCCAGAGCGTTCCGGAGCGCTCTCAGAGCGTTCCGGAACGCTCTGGAGCGGCCGCGGCGCCCAATACATCCTCCAAACCCACCGATGCTCAGAGATTTCGAGTTACCCCGATCCGATTTTGTCCCGATCTTCGCGTCGTTTTACTGGAGCCATGGTTATGTCGTGCGTCGTTTTCGACGGGCCCCCCGGGGCCAGCGCGGGGCCCTCGGAGGCCAAGGGGCGTCGAAGGCGTTGTCCGTCGTGTCCTTCCGTAAGGGGGCCGCCGTGCGCACTGCCCGGGGCCGACGTGCGCAGACTGCGGCGAGTCGTGTTTTGGGCCTCCCTCGGTGGGGTCGGAGCAGAGGCTTCGCTGCCTCGATACGCACGTTTTCAGAGCTCCGAATCATCAGGGGTAGCTCGAGACAGTCGGGGCCTTGACCTAAGGAACCCTAAATAAGGAACGAGGCCCCTTTTTTCCATAAGTTAACCTTCGATTTGCGATCGAAAACAGAAGGAAAGCCTGAGGCAAGCTGTGAAACACTTAAGGAACACCGAGCCCCTCCCCAACGAAAAGGGTTCCTTCCTCAGGGCCCCGACTGTACGCACGTTTTGATACGCAACACGTGCCGTATTCAAAACGTCCGTGCCAATGCGTTGCGTGTCGGTTCCACGCCTTGGCCCACGTTTGGGCGAAGGTATCGCGTCGGACCTACCTTTTCAGTCCACGTGTTGAGCTCCGTATCAATACGCTACGTGTTGCGTGTTGCGTCTCGGGGCAGCTAAGAGTAGATGGGGTCGGAGGATCGCGCCGCATCGCCGGTGCATCGCCGATGCTTCTCGTCGAAGTCGCCGACGCATCGCCGACGTCGACGATGCATCGCTGGTGCATCGCCGATGCATCGCCGATGCATCGCCGATGCGTCGCCGATGCATCGGCGATGTATCGGCGATGCGGCGCGATCCTTCGACCCGACCCCGTCTACTCGGACCCCGTCGAGGAGGCCTCCGTCGTGGGCGCCGTCTTCCGAGGTCGGGGGGGGAGTCTGGGAGGCACCTTCGGCGCGGCCACCCGCGCGGCCGCCGCCTCAGCCCGCAGCCGGCTTCGGGGCGGGGGTCGGGCGCTCCCCGCGGCGCGCTGGGCCGTTTCCGGGCACGTGCCGCAGGGCGGTGCACGAGGAGCGATCGATCGATCGGTGGAGCGGTCGGGCGTGCCATTGCCAAATAAAGCGTCTCGCGCATGATCAAATGAAGCGGTGTACGAGGAGCGATCGATCGATAGGTGGAGCGATCGGGCGTGCCATTGCCAAAGAAAGCGTCTCGCGCACGATCAAATGAAGCGGTGCAGGATGCGCGATCAAGCGATCGATGGAGCGATCGGGCCTGCCATCGTCGCACGCGCTTCGTGCACTGCCAAGAAAGGAAGGGTTCGGACGTTGTTCCGCGTTGTGTTTCCAGGGTCCTCTGTAGGGAACCACGAAAGTCCTCCAGGGCGCTGTCTCTTCGGCGGCCTGTACATCGAAGCGCGGTGGTTGCCAAGGACGCGGGCCGCAAGGCGGAAGAGGAAGAGGAGGAGGAGGAGGAGGAACAGGAGGAGCAGGAGGAGGAGGAGCTTCGAGGCCATTTTGGCTCAAATTATTTCCCCAATTTTATACATGCCACTTGTGCGCCACAGTCCTGCTGGGGGCGTTTGTTCGGGCTTCAGCTCGTCAATGGCCACACAGGCTCGCAAAGATGGCCATGTCAAAGCGCGTACCCCGAGGAAAATGTGCTGGCAGTGCTATATGTGCGGGTGCTCAAGACATGAATCGTGGTGGCCGTGGTCCAAGCATTGCGGAAGTACTAGGGTGGACCCGAGCGCGGGTGCCCTTTGGAAGCGTTCTCTTTCTGGCGCTTGGCTCAGGGACCACAGGATCAGCGCCACCCCGCCAATTGCAGACACCAGTACCCACAGCCATTTGCTGCT